CACTAGTCACAGAGTGACGTGAAAATGATTACGAAATTTCCACCCACGCGATTTTACTATGTATACCGTCGGCCAAGACAGCGTGACTGAGTTATGGAAAGTATACGTGGCTGCGTAACATCGTTAGCCTAGCACAAAGGGTGAAAATAGTAGCTCTGAGTGTAGGCTCCATTAGAGGCACAAGATCGATGGAATTCGATAGCGTGTCATTTATGCTGACAGACCTCGCGATAAATCTTCATCGCGATAAGGGGATAATATTCGATAGCATTTTAACGAGATCGTCAGTAGCTCGGATTCGTTCGTTCGAGACGTGTGCAAAATACGCCGTGTAGATTGTGGAAAGTTGCAAAATTGTGAGTATTATAGAAGGTGTAATTACAAAGTAGAAGAGAGACTTAAATGATAAATTTCAAATATAACCCATCTACGTTAGATTAGATTATGCGCGAATAATCATCCCCTTTGATCGTTGCCGCCTACCTTTGTTTTGTTTTTTTTTCCTTTTCTTCTTAATACGACATTTCTTTGGCATACTATTAGGTCATCCCATAAGTTCGTGCCGAAAGCGAAAAATATTTGAACGAAAATCCAAGAAAATTCTATAGCGACGACATAATGGTCAAAAAAATTGTGGAATAAGAAGGGACTTACATTTTTTTTTCTTAATCAAATTTAAAGATTCGTCTGAAATATTGATCTAAATTACAAAATTCGACACGAACTTATGGGATGACCTAATATTTCAAGAAATATCGTGAAAATTGAATATTACGGATATACTATAGAAACGAACTGACTCACTCAGTTGCCCGTTTCCTTCGTCACGTGTTTTCTAGGTTAGGTTACAACTTAACCTTTAAATAGAATACACATGTATGAAAATCAATACTAACGCTAACATGAGGAATAGAATTGTAGGAATGGTAGTTTTGTTAAGGCATCGACGATATAATACAGGTTCACGGTTGAAAAACTATAAACACAGAATACTTCGTAGTGACCTAAGACTGTTTTCGCGCGCAGTACTCTTTCGCTACCAGTGCCAAACGAATCAGGAATCGCGTTAATTGTGATTGGCGTGGCGGAACCTGGTAAATAGACGACAATAAACACAGATATAAAACGTGTACGCTCAACGAGGAAGGGAGAGTCCGTTTGTTGACACTCTGACTCATTCTCATTCTACGCGATGTCCCAAACGGCAACTTAAAATTGTGACTTTAAACAGGAAATATTCGGGGCAATCTTTTACACAAATTATAATTTATCGTCATTTTTATTATTTCTGTGCTATATACAGATGGCATTCCATGATAAATTTGCAAAATTTCAAATAAAAATTTTGAAACACAGCCAAGGATAGAAATATGTGGACACCTTTCGAGCAGAATAGCTTCTTTTTAAAATTAGATCAAACAGCTTGAGTTTTGTGAATACGTTAGAAGGATTAGTTTACTAGATGACGTGTAAACAAAAATTTGGAAAAATTGCAATTTGTGAGAAGCGCGAAGAAAATAGCGAAAGTCGCTTTTTACAACTTTTTTTATCTAAGATCGTAATGAAAATTTGAAAAATACGTTTCGTAGGTCTGTGTCGAAAATTTCATCGAAATCGGTGAATGGAGAAACAAGCGAGAGGCATCGAAATGTGTAAGAATTTTCAGATTTATTACAGCTCTAGTCGTGAAACAGTGAGATTTTCACAATCTTCAACCGTTTGTAGCTCATAGCAACATTAACCGATTTCGATGAAATTTTCAGCACGTGTATAATTGACATAAGTCTACAAAATGTATTTTTTAAATTTTCATTATGGGCTCAGATAAAAGAGTTGTAAAAAGTGAACTTTACAATTTTCTTCGCGATTCCCACAAATTGCAATTTTTTCTAAATTGTTTCTACACGCCATCTAGTAAACTAATCCATCAAACTTCTCAAAAAAAAAAAAAAACTCAAGTCGTTTGGCCCAATTTTAAAAAAGTTACTCTATTTTTAAGGGTGTCCACATATTTCTGTCCTTGACTGTGTATAATAGAAAAAAAATTGTTCATTTGTTGAAACGGTAAAGAGACTTACGGGCCACCAGGTATTACAATACTACATATGATTATACAGGGTGGTCCACGCAACGTGTGCACCGTTATAAATTCCAAAATATGCGTTGCACGAAAGAATGTTATATACAAAAGTTACATGGTTTAAAAGGGTACACTATGTAATGCGTTAATTTTTTTTATAGGTGGAGGCGTTTCGGAGATTTGAAGGTCAACTTTGTTTTTTTAAAC